AGTTGAGTCAATTGTCTCCCTCGTGTACACCACAAATCACGCACTAGCGGACGAGTAAAATTAAGCTTACAGGATGTCTCGCAAGCCTGGGATAAGGGGCGGTGGATGGCAGTAGGCCAAAGTGGTCAAAGCATGACCTTTCCCAAGCCACTCACTCTGAACAAAGACTGAAGATCTTTGCCTGAGAGTTTGGCAGAGTTGAAAAGGAAATCGTCGCTTGTGTTTGACGAAAGACCTTCGTGCTCGAAGTGTCCTGGTTGCCATCACAGATATGGGCCTTAGGCTACCAGTCTCTTCTGCGAATGGCAAAGCACGAGAAGTCGGTGAAGCCCAAGGTTTCGAAGATCTTGTCCAAGATCTGACTGTTCGAAAGAGTCAGTTTAGCAGGTAGGCTCGACACAAGCATCTCGCAAAAGTCGACCAAGCGAGGATCCTTGGTTCCCCTGGATCCAAGTCCCAAGTCAAAATCCCCTCAGCGATATCAGAAGATTTCTTGTTAATGGCGGTTTCCTGTTTGTCTAAACGCTCTTCTAGAGCCAAAAAATGCAATTAAAAAAAAAAGGTTACTAGAACTCAATGGTTCTGGTAAAAAAATTTGAAAATACTTTTTTGAATTCCTTGTCAAATTTTAATGAATTGTTTCAAGTTTTCGATTGAAGCCTCCTAGCTCATTCATCATGTGTAGCTGTAAACCTAACAGCAGACGACACAGTCGAACCAGTTAGTACACGGGATCTCCACACACTTCACAACACAGATGACCATAGATTAGAGTCATGACACACGTCAATAAGTTGAAAGGCAGCTGAGGGGTTGACGGAAACTCAAGGATGACGAACAGCCAACATCGAATGGCACTCGTCAAAGAAAACTTTGTCTCTTCCTTCACCCTGGACGTTGATCAGCGAGCAAGCGATGCGCAACATCAGATCGTCGCATGCGCAAGACCTCGAACACACGTTGTGGTAAACTAACCTCGATGAGCTGGAGTAGATGATAAAGATGCGTTTTTAACAATGCAAGGGAAACAACAATATCAGTAGTCCAGTTGTAGTTGACCCTAGCAAAATTAGCGGGCAAGAAACTGCAAGAAAAATGCGCGTAGGCAGGTCGAGGCAGTACAAAAAGCAAAAAGGCAGAGGGGCAGAAAGAAGTTCGTGTTGCTATACTTACAAAGAGAGAGAGAGAGAGAGGGAGAGAGAGAGAAAGAATAGAATAGAATATAATAGAATAGAATAGAATCAATTTTATTAGGCAAGCCAATGCCGAATGCCTCAATGACGAATACATGATAAAATTCAATTTTAGTAAATTTCTTAATTTAACAATAGAATTAACAAAAGTATTAACTAACAAATAAAAATAAAAAGCAGAAATAACAAAGTAATTTCAAGGTAGAATTAAACATCGGTGATCACACTAGAATAAGCGGAAGATAAAATTAAAAACAAATATAAAGAGATAACAAAATAGCAAAGAACGAATAAAACAAGTATATACACAGAATATTAAACATTTCCAAACATAATCACAATTTTCGCTGAATATATACAGAACCACCATTACACATTGTGACGGGAGATACGATTCTCACCACACAACGATGATCGTTTGACACATAAGCTCAACCACGCGCGACATACACACACACAAACACATACACACATCGGCCTCCTTGGCTCAGTGGGTATAGTTCTTGCCTGCTGATACAAGGTACGCCGTAGGGCGTGGGTTCGATCCCCACCGGACGAATTTTCGAGGTTCGTTTTTTCGCCTGGTGTGGTCGAGCCTGTGCCTGAGGTGGAGCGGGTACCACTCAAAAAGAAGACCCGGGCTATGTCATCAGCCTCCGAAGCGGTAAAAAAACCCCGATCACTGTGCGAGCTGGAAGCGATAGGACAACCACAAGTAGGAGCCCGAGGCGAGGACTCACAATGCTGGCAATAGATGGAGCACACCACTCCCATGATGAAGTCGGAAGCGAGAACTACACTCACAAGAGGGCGCCGGATGCGAGAGTCAAGGCTCTGGTGGAGCGCATGACGGCGCCTGAAGCGAAAACCACACTCACAAGACGACAACAGAAAAAGGAGGAGCACTCACAGGGTAGCGCCGGAAAGCGAGAACCACACTCACAAGATGGCACTTGACAGCGAGTCCTAAGAAGAGAGGCCCAACTCAGGAAGAGATGCCAGCAATGTGTGACCACGCAGACGGCTCTGAAAAAAGGGGATACGACAATCGACGATGGCAGCGTGCAGGATCGGAGGTTCACCAAGTAGAAAAAAGATGAGTCCCTGAACCCCTAATCGTCACATATCACGATGCGACGGATGGGGGATGTATGGAAAACAACGACTAACAGGAGTAGCAGAAATGCTCAACTAACCCCGGCCTCACCGAAGCAATGCCTAACGGCGGATACCGGTGAGTGNAAAAAAAAAAAAAAAAAAAAAAAAAACACATACACACATGTAGCAAAAAGACGACACGAAAAGTCGGCAGCAGCAATGGTAACAATGGCAACACAGGCACAGGACTCGCATGGCAAGGAATGCGAACGATAAGTTGGTCGCACTAACGAAACTTGGCCGAAAGATGAAAAGCTGGAGTTATCGATATCGCCTCGCTAGCATGTGCGATCACCGATCAGGCCTGAGTACTTGAAAGTGTGACTGACGAAGACACTCTCTCTGTTTCACGCTTGACTCGTGAACCTCGGTCCGGCAGAGTAAAAGTCGTTCGGAGTGCAACTCGTAACTACGTAACTGAGACGCCGGTAAAAATTTCCTAACTTATCATTGAGAAAGCCGATAATCGCACCTCCGATATTGGCCGCAAACCGAGAAATCAACTCGTTATCTTGTCGTGTGATACAAGTCGATAATATCACCCGACTACGTTAAATTGCAGTTGTGAATAGTGCCAATGCAACCCGTCATTGGACAATCGGATCGATCCATCCAGCGTGCCCTGCCACCTCAGCCACGCCGACGCCATCCATCATCGAGAGGGTCCACGGAGACGTCGACGCCGAAGAGGCCGGCCTGCGATTATATTAAGTACACGACACACGCATACACCATCCTTGAGCCATCACAAATCGGTTAAATGATAATAATTATTGGGACTCGCGCCCCTGAGATAGTAAATTCGAGAGTCTGCATGCTCTATATGCAGTGGCACCCCGAGCAACTTTTGTATTTATCAATTCAATATTATTTCCACATCCAATATAATTATTATTACTATTCAAATATTAATCATTTGCATTCATATTTCTTTATTTCACCCAATTTACCCTCACAACATGTTGATAACAGTTGATGCATATAAATACCAATATAATATTCAGACAGTAATTTGCGAGATGAATTTTATGTACAAGGGATGAGAATGAGTGAAAAATGGATAAAAGTAGAAAAAAAATTGCTTCAAACGCATGAAAAAAATGTTGAAAGCCGAATTAAGCTCGATTAACGACTCAAATACATTCATTAAACTATTTATTGAAAAATCATTATTTTAGAAATTCAAAGTATGATCTCATCATTTTTTATAGAGATTTAGAGAGAGAAAAATCGTGAAAATTTGGCAAAAAATGGGATAAAAAAAGCTTCATTCACTTTAAAGGGGACAGAAAAAAATCATTTGCTCGCACCTGTATTATGCGTGCCTTCTTTTTTCAAAATTTTCTTATTATGATTATCAAATAAACATAACATAAACATTCAACAACATATGTTGTAAATGTTTTTTCAGTAGAATCGAAATTGGTCATTGGATAAAGCTTAGAGAATTATTTTTAGTGATGAAATTTTTATTATTTGTTTTTGTTTTGAAGAAATAAATGAAAAATTTTGCCCCGCAGTTACATGCAAAAGAATAAAATAATTTAAGACACTTTTGAATCATTTATTTTGTTGGGATTCTTTTTCTTGAACCGAATGTTATTGTTAGTATATTCAACGAATTCAATTTCAGTTATGTAATGACCGAATTTGAACTTTTTAAAGAAAAATTTGAAAAATTGTATTATCAGTGGAATATGTGTCACTGAAAATGAATTCGTAAAGTAAAACTAACAATACTATTGGATTCTGTGAAGAAAAGCTCTACATCCTCAATTAATTTCTAAAAGTATATCATTTATTATAACCAATGCAATAAGCAATGGACGCAATTTCAGATTTTTTTCGTTAAAAATTGCAAGTAATGAAAATTATATTATTGAAAATAATTTCGTAGGCTAAAACCAACGATAAAAAAACTTGAAAAATTAATCGACACCTGTAAAAATCATATTATCTTACTTTTTAAACAATAAACTTTCAGATTGCGTTCGATCCACTCAGATACTCATAATTTTTGAAACATTGAACCACCTTAATATACAGATATTTGTTGAGAATTCAATTGTCGTACGAAATCTGGGTCAAGAAGTCGTTTTGGGCTTAAAAAAGGTTCCTCACGGAGGAAAAAAGGATTTAATTGATTTTATATTCACTCCTCAGTTCACGTTTGTTGTCTTAGAAATATAGCAGAAGCTCGACTAATTGCATTAGCAGAACAATCGATCGAGTCACTTTTTTACAATTGACATTGAACTCTGCTGACTCAACATTTTTTCAGTGTATGACAAGAGCAAGGATTTGAGAAATTATCAAGAAATAATAAATAACCTAGTGCACATAATCGAAATTTCCCTTACCTATTTGTACTGCTTTTTCATAACATTAAATATAAATTCATTTACTGAATAGTCATAGAGATCTTTTAGATGACTCAATTTTACTATACACAAGAATTATTAAAAATTGAAAAATTTTTTTCTAATTTATCATATTAAACCTCTATTCTTATACAAAATAGTATGAAAATAGTTTATAGAGTTGGAACTTAATCCCCCTGACTATTGAACTGGCATCGTTATTTGTAGCTTTTTATCATATTCAGTATTTTAATAAATCGAAATTATTATTGTTTATTTTTATCCATAGAGCTCCAAATGGCATTCGATGCGTTTGATCATCAAAAAAAAGGCATCGTAAGCACTGACATGATTGGTACTATGCTTGGAATGTTAGGTCACGAAATAAGAAGCAGTGTGCTTTCTGAAGTGATCGCTGAATTTGATCCTCATGGTAAGTTGTTAATGTATTTATGACATATTTTCATGTTTTAAATTATATTTGAAAGCTTCATAGCAGTCACTGATTAAAAAGCAGGAGTCTACAACTTTAGGGGGGGGGGGGGGGGNTTGGGGGGGGGGGGGGGTGTGCTGATCTGAGAGTACCTAATAATGATACAATTAAGTATCAATAACAATACATCAGGCTTTATTTATTATAGCACCACACACTTTATTTATCATACTTAAAACATCGGTCATACTTGCTGCGCTCTGCGGTAACGTACATACTGAATCTCTACAAGTCTCCACCACTCACTCTTGATCCAGGCAGCGCTGGTGGCAGGCAGCTTGACACATTCCTTCTTTTCTCTTCAATTTGAGAGGAGTTACCTTAGGAGAAGCTGAAGTAGAAACAATGAGATCTTTGATTTTATGAGATGTTCCACTAAGTTGACTAAGTCCTGGGTTCGACGGTCCTGGGCAATCGCCTATAAAGGTTTATGGTCAGTTTCTCATTCGAACTGTAAACCAGCTAGATACAGATAAAACCGTTTTACTCCCCAGACTAAAACTAAGCTTTCTTCTTTAGTCTGGGAGTAACGTTTTTCTGTATCTGACAGGCTTTTGCTAGTGAAAGATACAATTTGAGGATTGTCATCACTGTCAAATTGCAAAAGCGCAGCTCCTAAAGCTACTGGACTGGTGTCAGCCACTAGACGTGTACGCCTCTTCGGATCGAAATAGGATAAAGTTGGCATATGTGACAGGCTTTCTTTTAATTTACGGAAACATTTTTCGTGATCTTTATTCCAATGAAATTTTGACTCGCTTTTAAGTAATGACCGCAGAAAATCCGTTTCCGCACCAAAGTTTGGTAAAAATTTCCCTACATATGTGATAAGACCCAGAAAACTACGGAGTTCGTCCTTGCAGTTCGGCGAACGCACGGCGAAGATAATTCTTTAACTCTATATTTGCATTTTGTCTCATTGCGAGATACATTTTTGTCATCCAAAACTGACAACACTTTCTTCAGACAAACATCGTGTTCTTCCATTTCCGATCCGAAGACAATGATATCGTCTAGGAATTTGAAGTAATTTTTGCATGTCATTAAAATAATTTCTAGTTTTTTCTGAAAGATTTCTACTGCTGAATTTATTCCAAATGTCTTATGCGTTATGAATGTGGTTATGTAACGACTATCTTCGTCAAGTTCCATTTGATGATAGGCATCAGTTAGGTCTATTCTGGAAAAATACTTCGCCCCTCGCAGTTTTGTCATAATCGACTCGAATGTTGGTATTGGATGATTTTCTTTCAAAATTGCTTGATTAGCTCTCCTCATATCAACACAAATATATCTCCATTAGATTTAAAAACGACACGCTTGGTCCTGTTACCTTCTCAATAATTCCTCGCTTTAAAGCTTGATCTAGCTTATCACTGACTGCATCTTCTACTGCAATGGGAATGCGTCTTAAAGGCTATTGTAATGACCTAACAGAAAGATCTATCGACAATTCAACAATTCAGTCCTTAATCTTTGGAATAATACTGATATCTTCACAACTCTATTTACATCAATTCCTATTTTCAAAATCCCCAAAGTTTTAGCCGTATTCTTGCCGATTAATAAAATGTCACCATTTTTAACCACAAAAAAATGAAGCAATTGCTTCTTTCCCATTTGAGAGGAGGATTGTGGAAGAAAATTTCATTACCACATCCAGAGGTTCGTCTGACGCTTACGGTTTGAGCACATCTTTAACCTCATATGACATATTCCAAATTATTGCTTCATTTTTAAATAAATATTCGTAATCAATGTCTATTATAATATTGACTGGGTAGCCAGAATCAATAAGTAGTTTAAAACTTATGCCCCCGATAAGGCATTTGATAATATCTTCCGATTGTTTATTCAACTGTCCTTGCTTAGCACTGTCTACCCGAAAGCAATTAAATCGTTAAATATTTTCTGTATCTGAGTTGTCTTCTTCTACTTCAACAAAATTTACCTTATGTTTGAATTTCTTTGAAGTGCTCTGTATTTGATTACTGGATTTTCTTTTATACTGAAGCGTTCTACAGAACGAAGCGAAGTGTCCCTGCATATTACATGAATAACATTTTGCGTCCTTAGAAGGATAATTTTTTATGCAATAGCATGAAGAAAAATGTGTTTTTTCGCACATTTTTTAGTGCGCATAAAGCGTTTTTAGGCACATGTTGCATACAAAGTATACATCTATGAGTTTAAAAGAGAAAGCTGAAATCATAGCTGAAGTAAAAAATGGTTTGAGAAATAAAATACTTATTGCAGAAAAATACAGTATTTCTCAATCTACCCTTTGGGTGGCTTAGAACATTTCACAAAGAAAATAACTTAGTTTTCAAAAGTATTTGTTGAGAGAGCAATGCTGTCAACTTGGAATGTAAGTTCTCTCGAGTTTGAGTTTGAGTTTGTTTATTTGATTGGACCGTGGGGTGAAACCCCATGTGGTCCAGGTGGACAATAGTACATAAGTGTATGAACTATTATACATAGTGATTTGATTTGATTACTTTATTTGAAACGGACCATGGGGTAGAACCCCGTTTGGCTCTGGCAGAATGATTATTTACAGGTATAGAAAAATTATTATTTACAAAGGTAACGAGTATACGTTGCAAGTATAAACGTTCAAAATAGAGAATAAGAAAGAACTATTTACAATTTTAACGAGTATACGTTCAAGTTTAAGCACATAAGTACAAGTTGCAAAGATTGGCAGATTGTGAAAGAGTTGAGTAGCTCTCTATGCGATGAAGAGTGAGTTTGTGAGGGAAGGTGGAATGAGAGTGAAGTTTTCATTGCTGCATCTTTTTTTCCAGTCTTTAGTATCCAATGATAATAGGTGGTCGTAAATGAGTGATTTATAGGCAGATGATGGACGATTTAGATCAATGGTGAATGGAAGTGAATTTAGGAGTCGAGATGCAGTGTGAACAAAAGAATGAGATTGAGCTGATGTGCGGGGGGTCGAGTAATGAAGTAATGGTCTAGCACGTCGGCTAGAGAAGCGAGTGTTGATACGATTTGAGTAAAGCGTAAAACTATCGTAAATATGCATGGGTGATTTTTTATGAAGGATGTTCAGAGCGAGCACCGCCACTCTGAGCAGACGCTGGCGTCTCACTGACAGCCATCCAAGAGCTAGGCGATATGGGGCGACGTGTTCATCGCGCGCGATAGTGCCGTATATGAAGCGAGTACATGCATTTTGCAGGCGCTGTAAACGCAGAACCTGCTCTTTGGTTGTAGCGTTGCATACGGAGGCTACGTAATCCATGTGTGGCAGCACAAGAGCCACGGATAAGGATTCACGCAGCTGGCGAGAGAGAGAGAGAGAGAGTGCCGATAAAAACGAAGGGAATAGAGGGCGTAGTGTGACTTTGAAATGATGCTGCCTACGTGAGCATCCCAGTAAAGAGATGGAGTCAGAGTGATTCCCAGGCATCTCATGCTTGACGAGTAGTCAATCGGCACACCCTGGACAACAATCCTCGGAAGAGTGTCCAAGTTAAAAGCAGAAATATATGCACGACTGCCTAAGAGCATGACTGTTGTTTTTGAGGCGTTTAGGCGCAAGCTCGAGCGAGAGGCCCATTCCGCGACGCGGTTCGCGTCAGCGTTCACTCACGCGATCAGTCGTAAGATATTTTTCGGATAGTCGAGGGCATATATCTGCGTATCGTCGGCGTAAATCATATGAGATGAGCTTTGAAGAACGGAGCGAAGATCGTTGATGAACGCAGCAAACAGTAAAGGCCCAAGAGTACTGCCTTGAGGCCCACCCGAAGAAACATACTGGCTCGGAGTCAGAGTGCCATCTTGACGTTGTACCGCGATTTGACGATTAGAGAGGTAGCTAGCAAACCATTTGAGAGAGAAGTGGTTACAACCCAGTCCGTGAAGCTTGGATAAGAGTATGGAGTGGTCAGTCATATCGAAAGCCTTCGAAAAGTAGAAGGAGACTAGTAGCGTAACCTTCAGGTCGTCTATAGTCGAGCGCACGGACTCAGTAAGATGGAGAAGGGCTGTTTGAGTAGAGTGAGCAGGTTTAAAGCCATGCTGATGTGTGTCGAGTAAGTCATGTTCTGAGAGATGTTCAGTGAGCTGAGCCTGATTATATACAGGTGCCAAAGATAAGATATAATATTATTTCTTATAACTAGTGTAGAGCAGAAAAACATGTGACAGCAGATGCAATCTATGGATCAGTTGGTGAGGTGATAAGAGAACAATTAGCAGAAAAGTTTATGAAAAAGACAGCTCCGCACAGCTGGGTACGTAAATGAAATTATAAATTCAAAGCCACTGAATTTAGGTCTTCTTTATTAAATATCGGTATGAGCTCCGACTGAGGCGATTTGCGCATGAAGACGGTCAAATTTCGGTCGATTGGGCTGGGATACTGGCGATGACGAGAGAGCAATTTGGCTTCACGAAACAGATGGTTAACACTTTTGGGCCATAAAGGACTCAAAGAAAGCTGAGATTCGCCGCCAGTATCAAACAGATCCTTATTATCCATTCGTGCCAGCTTATGGGTTTGAGCAGCAAGACCATCGCGCACAATCGACGAAGAGCACTGGAAAACGATGGCACGAGTGTGTTCCTTGATAGAGCGCAGGTTTCTTGGTTTCCAACTTCGAGTCTTCGTTATGAATCGCTCGTGATGTTTTAGACCCATGGCAGAAAAAGTCTTTTCAAGGACCTGGTCGTCGGCAAGCTCCAGGCCAGATGGCACGCCAGACAATAGCATCTCGCACTGGTCAGTCTGCTGTGAGTAAGGTGCAATAAGATCTGGAATTTTGCCCATAAATTCAGAGCACTTCGCAGCAGAGACTTTTAAATTCTCAAGATCCTGCTTTATTGGCGATGCAGAAAGAGTTGATGACTTGACTTCCTGCTCCGAAGCACGACGATCGAGATCTTTAATCGATGCACACAAGCAATCACCTTATCCATGAGGCGATCCATAAAACCATAAACTTTATCAAACAATTTTTGGTTTGCCATGTCAACATATTTGATGATGCGTTCGGTTTCATCTTGAAAATTTGCTGGGCACGACGTGTCCGACTGAGACATGACGAAACAGTACTAAGCTCAGTTTCCAAACACTAGCAGAAGACGACAAGAAACGTAAACACTGACTTTAGTAGCACTGGACACTTGCAAAAATTTGGCGACTGCGCGTTTAAGTCTTCCTTAGATTTTCAATGCTTCTGGAAACTCACCTTGGAAGTCGAATTCGATCGAGAAATGATGATGATGATACTAATTGCAGGGTCGAAGATGCAACAATACACCTGATGCATCTAGAACCTTGCAATATTGAACGTGGAAGATCCGCAAAACAAGACCACAAGGGCAGAAAGCAGCAGAAAAATAGCCTTAAAGAGGAGCGAACGTGAGATGTGTGTTGCTACGTACCCAGAGAGAGAGAGAGAGAGAGGGAGTGTATGGCTGAACGAGCATTCCTCTCAAGCTCTGGCAGGCTCTTCCTCTTATTATCATCGACCATTCAAACGAGTAATATATAACGTAAATACGAGAATGGGATAGATACAAACTTAGCCATCTCCCAGTAACGGAATTAAATCGATACTAACCTCTAGATTTATTTTTTGTTGTATCTGGTGTAAGTAACAGAGATCGTTATAACAAAATTTCCGTATGTATATAATAGATTCATCGTCTGGATGGCTTCGAACATTTCCAAAATAAAATGGCATGATTTTCAATAACGTATGTGGAGTGTCACAGGGATCGTAATTAGGGTTCTGTCCGTCGTCGCTATCTTAGAGTTAACGGGATGAGAGGAGGAGAAGTGAAATCAATACACTGACAAGTAGATCGTCAACTTCGTATTATTAGTAGTTGTTAATGTTACAGTCTACCGTCGTGTACTGACCGCGCAGTGATCGACTTCCTACCTACGCGAGCTCGTCACCCGAGCTCGCTGCCGCAAAAAGTGCCAATTCGGCAAATGACACGCGAATACCGTGACAGGAGAGAGCAATTTTGTCAATTTTAATGAAATTGAGAATTAGAAAATATTATTAGAAGACATGATTTCAGATTGTAAAAATAAAATATTTTCAAATTTGATGAAGGTGCTTTCATTTATCAATGAGTTCCTAATAAAACATTAGAATTCAAAAACAAAGAATATGTGGATGTATCAGAAAAATTACTTCTGCTCCCAGTCGGGAGTTATGCAAACCCCACGTAGCTTCAAAAATTTCAAAATTAAACCAATGAAATATTTATCTAATAGTAAGTCCTGGATGACAGCGCAAATCTTTTCAACGCGGCTTTTGGAACTAAAGGCGGAGCAACGCTATAAAAACAGGGAAATCGGGATTTCATAGACAATTGTGCATTGCAGATGATTTTTCGAGATCTCTCCGGATCGCACAAGAAAGTCCTTATAAATAAACTTGCAAAAATCTACATGGAATCTATGATCTTTCTTCGTGGAATCGATGTACTTTCCACGATGTTCCCATGTTGTTTTTACCCTGTTTCCACGCAGAATCCATCTCCGATTAGCATCGATTTCACGTAGCTGATCCACGAAGAAATCCATGCAAATATTTTCAACTGGGAGTAAAATTAACTTTTTTATTAGACTTAATTTTTAAATTTTCTGAGAAATGTTGAAAGTCAAACAAAAAAAAACAAAAATGATTCAAACAATTCTGAAAAAATTCAAGAGTATTATTTAAACAATTTTAATACCAGTTTCAAGGTCAATGATTTTTCCTCATGTTCTTTTGATTAAAAAAGTGTATTATATTTTCAACAGTTTTATTTCTTCTATATAATAATAAAATTCTGAAGGCTTGATAGTACGTACGTAATAAACCTTTCTGTTTTATTTTAACAGGTAGGAAAGAAATAAGATTTGATACATTTTGTAATTTAGCAGCTCGATTTCTTGAAGATGATGCCGATGCAGAAGCAGTACAAGCTGAACTTCGGGAGGCATTCCGACTTTATGATAAAGAAGGAAATGGTTATATAACTACCGAAGTTTTCCGAGATATTCTTCATGAATTAGACGACAATTTAACTCCAGAGGAATTAGATATGATGATTGATGAAATCGATGCAGATGGCTCTGGGACATTAGATTTCGATGGTTTGTATGAATATATTTTGAATGAATGGAATATTGCGTATGATTTTTATACAACAATTTCTCAATTAATTGCTTAACGGTAAGACTTGTTGGCAGCTTAGATGAAAGTTAGTTATCCCAATCTTTAAAATCCTTTATAATGAGTATGTTTTGGAGTAACAATCTGTAGTGAATTTTTCAAATCAAGTCCATTAGAAAAAAACAATATTGTGTACTGTAATCGAATGCACAACCTATATTTATGCTGATATTTTGAAATACCTAACTACAGTTAATACATCATAAGATGTCAGTTTTAACAAAAACAACCACTTTGATTGTATTTATAGTATATTTGTAACATTGCTTGTCAAAAACTCTAGTGCGGCTGCCCTCAACTTTATTAACCCGATAAGTCCCAAGAAGACGTTTTTTCAACTCTTTATTCGGCCACTGTATTTTTAGGGAAAATGGGGTCAAAAAAATATGCAAGTAAATAATTCTAATGTAAAATTTAATACCCTTTCAGAATCTAATCTCAGATTTTCAAAAAAATGATCAGGTCAAAAGTTAAACTTGACTTAACTTATTTGAAATTTCAAAGCTTTTGTGTTAATATCGCGTCCTTGATATCTAAACTGAAAGTAAGAGGGGTTCCGATTAAAAAAATTTATGTTTAAACACAAAAAATGGCGGTCGAAACACGAAAATATAAATGAAAACTTCTAGAATTTTTCTCAAAAACAAAAGCAAAGGTTAAAAAAGTGTATTTTTTAACCTTATTTTCACCAATCTAAACCCCGCAAACTTTTAATTTAGGTATTGAGGACGCGATATTTGGACGATCCCCTTGAAATTTCAAATGGTTTCCATTTGGAAAATCACCAGCATCATAGAGGTAGATTGGGGCAAGAGGCTGCTCATCGTTACGGGTGATTTCAACGCCTGGTCAACGGAGTGGAGATGATGTGTAAGGACACAGTGCGCCCCCGCTCTCCTTGACGCGTTCGCCACCCTCGAAGCGGTAATGCTAAACACCGGAGATACACCAACATTCACCGGTCCACTGGGCTACTCGGTCAACGATCTCACCTTCGCCAGCGACGCACTCGCTCCCTAAATTACATCATGGGCCGTAAACGAACTCTACAGGCACAGTGACCATCAAGCCATCGTTTTTGAGATAGAGACCATGAGACTGCCTAGACCCGCGACGAGTCAAAGCTGAAAGTGGAACGCGAGCACCCTTGACACAGAGTACCTCTCAGTCATGATGGCCAGTGCCGTGGTTCCACCCGGGCCTTCAGAAGAAATGGCAACGAGGCTCATGGCCGCCATTACCAGTGCATGCGATGCATCTATGACCAATGCAAGGGGATGACGCCACTGTGACGCAGTGTACTGGTGGACAAATGAGATCGCCGACCTCCGGCGCTCATGTTTGCAAGCTCGAAGGCTTGCCCAGAGAGCGCGTGGTCGGCCAAATGAAGGCGCCTGCCGAGCGAGCTATGCCTCCGCAAAACGTCTCCTGTGCGTGGCTATAAAAACCAGCAAGCGCCGGTGCTGGAACAAACTGTGCAACGAGGTCAACGAGGACGTATGGGGCAATCTATACAAGACAGTCATGTCCCGACTCAGAGAACCGAGAGCATTGTACCTTGGGAAGTTAACAAGGCACCGTGGGTCCCGGTTAAATGCGATTGAAATTTTTTTGGTAATAGATTTTGACCTCCTGACCATAAGTCCTTATCGGCGGTACTCGATCCTGTGAGCCGTTTTTGAGAAAAAAAAAGATTAAAGTCACGTCCTTTAGCGGTGACCCGACATAACCCCTCTGCGCCAGTTGAGCGTAGTGCGCGATAATTCAGCTTTTGCCGTAAGTCCAAGACTTAGGCAGCACGTCTGTGTTACTTTGAAATATTTTCTAACTATTAACGATGTCATTTTCTTCAGCAGTCGATGATCTATCTTGGCCATTGGTCCTGTTCTCCGAATGGTTGGGTTGGCTTGGGGCGCCGCTACTACGTAGCTTCTTGTGATTCTTTTGACAGCACTGTTTGCAAGAGAATTTCGAGGTGCACTCCAATACTCGATGAGAACGGGCAAAGCAGTTTCAGAACAGGCCTAGCTTTAAAATACAATTGTATCGTTCAGATACAGATAGAGATTAAAATTGAGGGCACGTATGAAGAGCATATGTTCAAATTGTCATACCTCGCACTAGTCGATCCCAAGCCACGTTGAAATTCGAATCGATGATGGGCAGTCCTATTACGCGATGCTCTGTGTCCGCCTGCATAATTCAAACACCCGATAATTCTGCCTACGAAAAGCCGACTCACGACGTTATTGATCGATCATATGCACCAGGTGACATTGCACGGTGGTGTGCAGTTGATTGTGTCGCATCTCAGACAGCACTATTGGATCCCAAGGCTCAAAGTCGTGGTCAGCGCACAATTGAGAAAGTGTGTTGTTTGTTTGCGATACAGAGCCGCTACTGCATCGCAGCGAATGGCTGATTTACCCGCCGTACGCGTCACACCTGATCGGTTGTTTAAAAGCTCCGGTGTTGATTACGCCGGGCCTTTCATGTTGAAAGCGTCCAGGCATAGGGGCTCGCATAAGGATATATGGCCATTTTTGTTTGCATGGTGACTAAAGCCGTGCATTTAGGAGCTGTGTCATCTTACGATACTGCCTCATTTATTGCAGCCCTGAAGCGCTTTGTCTCTCGCAGAGGGCAGTGCTTGCATATATACAGCGATTGCGGCACGAACTTTGTAGGTGCAGATGCGCAGCTTCGCCAAATGCATCGGAAAGGCTCAGCCTTCTACAAGTCGATTTTCTCGCACTTGAGTGGTAAAGACATAACTTGGCATTATAATCCGCCCGGCTCTCCTCACTTCGGAGGTCTGTGGGAGTCAGGTGTTAAATCTGTGAAGCACCATTTAAAGCGCATGATAGGCGACACGCTTCTTCTCACCTATGAAGAGTTCGCTACACTTTTAGCTGAGATAGAAGCGATTTTAAATTCTCGGCCCCTCACTCCTTTGCCTGAAGAGCCGGAGCCCGAGACGGTACTGACTCCCGCTCATCCGATAATCGGTGAATCTTCTTTTTTGATCGCCGAATCTCCGGTAAAGGCTGAGAAAATCGGAGCGTTAGAAAGGTGGAAGAGGGTCACTCAGTTGACGCAAGTCTTCTGGGAACGGTGGTCCAAGGAGTACTTGTATACGTTGCAAAAACGCAATAAGTGGCAACTACCCGAACCAAACATCGTGGTCGGCGATATCGTTTTAGTAAAAAAACGAAAGTACTCCGTGCGCCCGTTGGCCCATGGCTAAAGTCACGGCGATCCACCCTGGTAGAGATGGTTTGGTGAGAGTTGCTACAGTCACGACGGCCTGCGGGTCTTATAAGAGACCCATCGTTAAGCTCGTTAAAATCGTCGACCAGCCCGACGAATAAGTCAAGTTTGATAAAGCACTTCGTCCTGAAGCCGGGCCTGGCGCCGGGAGCCTGTCTACTGGTGGAACGACGAAATCGCGGAGTGTAGACGGACTGCATCCGTGTGCGAAGGTACGCTCAACGGGCACGCGGTCGTCCTGACAAAATAAATCGTCGCGAGGAGTTCGCCGACGCTTGGAGGCGACTACGCAATGCGATAAAGGCGAGCAAGCGCCTCTTCTGGAGGCAGCTCTGTGACGAGTCGGACCTCGATGTACGGGCTAAACCATACAGAACGGTCATGTCTCGCCTCAAGGTACCCAGGACGTCGCCACCTACCGCACCTGGCTTGGTGCGGCGAGCGGCGTCCACGCTGTTCCCGCGGGTCATTCCTCGGCCAATCGATACCCCATCGGTACTGGAGGAGCACTTGATTCCCGAGGTCGGCGTCGAGGAGCTGCGAAGGGCATATCGGCGTGTGAAGATCGGGGCAGCCCCTGGTCCAGACGGTATCCTTAACACTGCCCTTAAGGGCTAACAGGGGGCTTAATTATTCTTCATTTTTCAATTACAGTACTAGCCATAAGCAGCTACAGCCATAAGATGAACTGCAGCTACTTGTGTGTACAAATTTCTAGAATTTAGTATTCATTTTTTATCATTTTCCATAAATTAATTCTACTTTGCTATATGTACAAGTAGCTACAGTTCATCTTATGGCTAGCTTTTGGTTGCGACCATGGCCAATTGGCTATCGAACAACATGAAACCAATTGGGGTACCATCGATCAATGCTTGCTCTTGGATTTCTACGACAGGTAGCTTAGATATGCGTATAGCTTGCGTTGAAGGTTAATACCCTCATTATTATTGTACTTAACTATTTCTAAGTATCTAACTAGACAAAATACTTTCAAATAGGGTTTTGAAAAGGGTTATCATGTGTGTTCTTAAAAAAATTATTTTTTTTTCACTTTTACAGCCTAGTACTGTAATTGAAAAATGAAACATAATTAAGGGGCTATTCTACTTTATCCATTTCAAAAAATCGATTTTTTTTTTATTTCATTTTTTGAAAGTAAATGTCTTTGAAAATATTGTGTCAAAATTTCAGAATGATCAAAGCCTTCTAAGTATACTCTTTGCAACGGCACGCATCTCTTAGTGCGCGTGTACGCTTGTACCAGTATAATACGCCTGGCAGCTACACCCCTTTTTTCGAATCTTGGCTCATTATATACATATAATCAGATGTTGTAACGTACTGTATAGGCTTATTATAAGCGCTGAGCACGTGGTTGTAGATGATTTTGAACTTTAATCAAAGTTTAGCTGCAAAGATGTTTAGGTGGCCACACGCAAAATAATAACGAGAGCTTCAACCATTGCGTGTGGATGATGGCACCAAAACATATTTTTTCCGGTGGTGTAATTGTTGAAATTGCAACCCAAATAGTTGCTTGTATCTTCAATGAAGGATTTTGCACCGTGCTAAAAATGATGGATGAGCTAAACTTAAAAATCAGAGCCTATGCCTCTACTTACGCTGAGAAGCGCGACGAGCAGCGCATACGTTTAGCGAACCGCCGTAGCACTGACTTGTCTCAGAAAGATAGAGCAAGCCGCAGAGACACCAGAATGTATGAAAATCAATTTCATGAAGAATCTGAAGGTCGTCTGTATAGCGCCGGTATCGCTGATTAATCGTAAGTATCAAATTTTTAACTATTCGAAAAAAAAACTTTGAACGCGTTTTTCTCAAAATGATGTTTTTCGATATGGTCCCAGTGATTTCTCAAAAACTACTGGATCGATTCGTCTGAAATTTTAACCACTTATTTGTTACATATATACGTATGGTTGGAACCAAAATTTTGTCAAAATTCAAATTTTTTCTATTTTTTTATAAGGAAAAACCGAGAAAAAAAAGGTCGTTTTTTATTCCATTTGCTCATACGGCCGCCATTTTGTTATTTTTGACCCAAAAATGAAAATTTTGGTCCCAACTATAGCCAACCATGCACTGAATAAAAGGCTTTTTTCATTTTGTGTTTCAGATGTTTCATTATTGCTGAATCAGTAGGACAGTGCGCACCTGTTTTTTTTCGTGCCTGCACACATGACTGCATTATACACATATATGTATAGTAAAACTAATAAAAAAAATTTTTTTATTTACTTCAATACTACCTTTATCAACCCCAAAAAGATTTAGAATGATACCTGTCATAGATTGCTTAAAAAAAATTTGCGGAAAATACCTTTTTTTATGGCCGACAAAGTAGAATAGCCCCTTAAGCCCCCTGTTAGCCCTTAAGGCGGCGGTCGAGGCTTGTTTCGACAGTTTTTGCCGCGTCTTTACGGCTTGTCTCAGGGAGGGGTGCTTCCCCGAAACGGCAAAGGCTCATCCTGATGTTAAAACCAAGTAAGTCTGCTGCCGAACCATCGTCGTACCGCCCGCTATGCATGTTAGACACAGCGGGTAAAATCCTCGAAAGGATCATAGTTGGTCGCCTGGACGCCCACAATGAATGGCCTGCTGGTCTAGCGGACTCGCAGTTCGGCTTCCGTAAGAGGCGATCAACTGTTGATGCCATACAGACCGTTCTCAGCACTGCACAACCAGCCATCAGTGGCAGACGATGGCGTCAGGGCACCAAGAAGTACTGCGCCATCATCATTTTAGACGTGAGGAACTCAACTCAACGCGGTGGAACAAAATTCTCACCGCCCTGAACCAAATGGAGGTCCCGGCTTATCTGCAAAGGATGGTTTCTGACTAATTCCGCGGCAGAGTGCTAGAGTTCGCCACGGATGATGAGGCAGAGACTTACGAAGTTACGGCTGGCTTGCCACAGAGATCCGTACTTGGCCCCATTCTTTGGAACGTCATGTACGATAGGATCCTGAGGCTCGAGCTACCGAAGTCCGCAAAAATCGTCGGATTTTCAGACGACATTGCAATCACGGTGGTGGCCAAGCACTTAGACCTCGTCGAGTTATACTCAAACGAAATCATACGTCTAGTGCGAGCAGCCTTGACTAAACTGGGGCTACAGACTGCTGACCAGAAAACGGAGGTTCTCCTGGTCACCAGTAGGAAAGTGAGGGAGACCATCTACCTCAGGGTCGGTGATCACTATATCACGTCGGCTCCCTGCATCCGATACCTAAGCGTACACATTGACGCCAGGCTGCGATTCGAGGAGCATCTTCGCATCGTTAGCGACAAGGCAAACCGGGTTACAGGCGCACTACTGGGTCTTATGCTCAACATTGGAGGCCCGATGAGCAGTCGACACAGGCTCTACGCCAGCGTGGTTGACTCGATCCTCCTATACGGTGCCCCGGCATGGAGTGAGGCTGCAAAGAAGCAGAGCTACGCCCGCCAGGCGGCCTCGATTCATTGTCGTGCCTGCCTGCGAGTGATCTGCGGTTTTGCAGCATCTCACACGAGGCCACATACGTTCTTGCGAGCATACCATCGCTTACACTACTCATCGACGAACACTCGAGGCTGTACTTACGTCGCCTCGAAAGCGTCGAGAGTGAAGAACGGGCCAAGACGATCGAGGAATGGTAGGCCCAATGGACCCGCTCGAAGAAGCGACTCATCCCGAACATCATTCCGTAGATTGAGAGGAGGCACGAAGAGGTGAATTACCACCTCATGCAACTCCTGACCGGTCACGGCTGCTTCAGGTCATACCTGTGTCGTTCAAACAACGACACCGGTGACCTGTGCCCGGTATGTCCTGTGGCGGTGGAAGATGTCAAACACGTCATTTTCCTTTGCCCTCGATTCGCGGAGGAAAGAGAGGTGCTCCACCGCCTCTTTTGGGGTCCCCTGGAGCCTGAGACGCTGGTAGGATTCATGCTGGAGGCTGGAACCAACTGGCTGGCAGTGTCCACCTTCGCCCAATCGGTCATGACAAGACTGTGGAGCGAAGATAGGGCAAGAAGAAGATGACCGGACGATGCGGTGAGACAAAGACGATGAAGACACGAAGATGACTTCTCAGAAGTAAGCACACAGCTCGAGCCTCTCCCGCGAAATAATACCTAAAGGTAGTCCCGCGGGAAAGAAAAGGGGCAGGAGATAAGGATGGGTTTTAGTTGGTATTAGTAGGGAGGCATATTACACGCCCACACAACATCTGTACACAAACAACAGTACACTACTCGAGTCCGACATATCCGTGCGACACACAAGAGTCGCACGTTGAATCCGTAAAAGGATTACCCTCCTTCCCCAAAACACACACACACACACACACACACACACACACACATGAGCCGTCCTCGTATCGTCCGCTGTGTATGTTAGACACGGCGGGGAAGATTCTTGAGAGAATCATATACGACCGGCTGGAGGCTTTCACAGAGAGACCCGGAGGCCTCTCGGAGCAACAGTATGGCTTCCGGAAAGGACGCTCAACGATCGATGCCATCGAAGACGTCATTTCCACCGCCCGTGAGGCCATCGACGGCAAGAGGTGGTACCGCGGCACCAAGCAGTACTGCGCCGTGGTGACACTCGACGTAAGAAATGCGTTCAATTCGGCTCAGTGGGACAACATTCTCGCCGCTCTACGCCGTTTGCTCGTACCCGATTACTTGCTGAGAATAATTTCTAGCTACTTCTCAGCAAGAGTGCTCGACTTCACCACGGATGATGGCCCAGAGTCCTACGAGGTCACAGCAGGTGTCCCACAGGGGTCAATATTGGGCCCGATCCTGTGGAACGTCATGTATGACGCGATCCTGCGCCTCAACCTCGATGGCGATGTTCGTATCGTCGGCTTCGCGGACGACATCGCAGTGGTGGCTGTCACCAAGCATCTATGGCAGATCGCTATGACACGATCTGAACGCTGCCATTCTACAGGTGCGAGGCGTGCTTCAAGCTCTCAGCTCACAAACAGCTGACCACAAGACGAAGGCTCTGCTCATCACAAGTAAGAAAAAAGAGGAAACCATCATCATCACCGTAGGTGACCACAGCATACGCTCGTCCCCCTCCATCCGCTACCTGGGCCTGCATATCGACGTCAAGCTGAAGTTCGACCACCTCCTCCGAACAGCCAGCGCGAAGGCAGCCGGTGTGATCGGTGCCCTTACGAAGATCATGCCCAACTCTGGCGGGCCCAGAAGCAGCCGACGCAAGCTGTATGCTCATGTCGTCGACTCCATACTCCTGTATGGAGCCCCCATCTGGAGCACAGCAGCACAAAAGCGAGTCTACATTCGCCAGGCAGAGTCAGCCCACCGACGAGCCTGCCTGCGTGTGATCGGAGGTCGGCCGCATGTTTCCTACGAGGCCACATATGTTGTTGCCGGCATTCCACCACTGGCCCTTCTCGCGGACGAGCGAGCGCAGCTCTATGGCCGCTGCCGAGAGGACGCAAAGGACGAGGAATGCTTGGCAACGCTAAGCAAGTGGCAGGAAGCATGGGACCGGTCGACGAAGGCCCGATGGACGCACCGACTGATCCCAAACATCAGAGTGTGAATCGAGAGGAGGCACGGATAGTTGAACTACCACCTCACGCAACTTTTAACCAGGCCTGGCTTCTTTTAACACCATAGCCGACGCTACGATCATAATCAAAGCGCGCAATGCCCGGTTTGCCCCTCATCCATCGAGAACGAGGAGCACGTATTCTATCACTGCGCTCAGCGAAGAAAGAGAGAGACTACCGACTCTGCTCCACCAATCTTTTTTGTTAAAAATAACGTTTTTTTGCTCCAGACGCTATCACCTTCAATTAAAAAATCTGAAAAAATTTGAGATTATGTATTTTGATGAAGAAGAAAGTAAAAAAATTTATCCAGATTTTATAAGGTTCCGTACCGCCCTACGAAAAATTATTTTCGTGAAAAAAGCGGTTTTTCAGCTCTAGGCTTTATCGGCATGAATGAAAAATTTTGAAAAAATTCAAGGAATCGTTTTTTGGCGTCAAAATTAAGAAAAAAATACTCCGGTCTGGTATATCGCACCATTTCACCGAAAATAAAACAATTGTAATTTTTAATGATTTTTCTGAAGGCTTGAAGCACTCAATAAATCTTAAAAAATTTAAGATTGTTTGGATTGTCGAAAAGTACCTTCATGAATTTTTTAGATGTTTTAATTACTTCAGGGCTTTAAAATAAATACAAATAGAAAATAGACGTTTATAGCAGTGGTGGGAGGTAAGAGGGGGGAGGGGGTCTTAAATGTTGGTTTTTGGACTCTTTTATGATGTACTGTAACATATCAAAATTTCAGGAAAGTCCGTGGACCTCACCCGCAGGTTTATTTGAAAAATTCTGATTCTGACCCATATATTTTCCTCTCTGGGGCACACGTGCAGAGAAAACAACATGGGCCCGAGAATGTAGACCCCTTAGATTAAATGTCTAATACGAGACTCGAAAAAAAGTCATAAGCTTGTTATCACTTTTAATAATAATGGAAATTTAACTTTTGTAAATGACAAACTTTCATAACAAGTAATTTAAGTTTTTCAAAAAAATTTACTGAAAGATTTTTGTAAATTATCAACTTCTATTTTTTGTTGCAGAATTCATGGAGGCCATGACGAAGTAGAAATTTTGGTTGTTTAGAGGTGTATATATTTTCATGAAGAAAAATAAAATAAAAAAATAGAAAATTTTGTTGTTATTATAGAACATTTAAATACATTAATAAATTAATCAGAATTCAAAAACCATTGTCAATTCATTATTAATAAAATCTGACATAAAAATTCGCTACTTTAATTTTAATAAAACAGCGCTGATAAAAACTAACTGAACCCTTACCCTTGTTCAGAAACTAAACATTACATCATACCTGACTTTTTGACTATACATATTAAAAATTTAGCGCACATGGTGTGAACAGGTCTGTAATGCTGAAGCGTGCATGATTTTTTGTGCCAGCTTGACAAACCACGTGGACTTGCCGAAAATATTATGAGTTTTAAGAATAGTTATTTGCGAATCGTATTTTGAATCGGATTTCGCGTGAGCGCCAACCGCGAGAAGACAACATAAACGGGTCTGTTCATTGATATACAAGTAACGTGCGTGTAAATAAATGTAAAAAGAAGAGATCTGACAAGAAGAACACCTAAGCTTCGGGTCATGGATTTGGCCCAAACTTACTAAGGGTACTTTGTATACCTAGAAAATATGGACAGTAGGTTTAGTTTGATCTCATATGTCTCTGGAAGATGTACAACCCATATGCACTATTAAAATATTAATAATTTAATTCCCGCAATGGAACCTATTTTTTTCATTTGAATAAATATATCAGAAGAAAGTAAATGAGGTTCAACGACAAGGGGTTGTATTTTTCGAATATTGTTCCTTTTTTCATATTTATAACTGCATAATGGCGCATACTATGGCTCTAATTAGTTTGTTTATTTGAATTTGGACAGTGAGCCTATAGAGCTGGAGTTTCCTACAATTCTACATGTTTTCAAAGCATTTTAAAGTGCAAGTCAAGGTGCAGTCAAGTTGGTTGAACTTGATTTAATTAGTATTGAGTCATCAGTTTATAATAAAGGAAGTTTTTTACATATAATTAATATTTGAATATTGCACGCGGTTTGTAGTTATTTCAGAGGCCTATGAGATCAAACTAAACCTACCGGTCATGTTTTCTCGGAGTACAAAGTATTTTCAGTAAGTGGGGTCAGATCCATGACCCAGAACCGGGGTGGTCTCCTTGTAAGTCTGAGAGTTGCCTCAAGACAGGCAAAGTGACGAGAGCTCGAATGTAAGAGTTGAGCGTGAGATCCTTGAAGATTTTTGGATAGATTCGCGGATAATAAGGTCCTGAAGTCACCTTAGTTCGGGCCCAACCCTTAGTCGTTGTGTTTGTAAGTCGCTTGCGCCGACGCGTCCTTCAGAGCTGAGATCAATGTGTCTGCCTTTGGTCGGGTATCTAGTTCTCTCTGAAGCAGTGTGTAATGTTTATTGAGTAAAAATAAACCTGGTCGTTGTTTTTTTTAATTTTGTGTGTATGTTTATTTGAGTGAGAGAGTATGATTTTCTATAGTCCTTTTTCTGTCTGTAGAAACAGACACCCAGAAGGCTCTACGAGCTAGAACAAACCTTTGAAGCCAAGGGGCACGTTACCCGAACGGTTGGTAGAATAAGTTGGAGGGTTGCAGAAAATATTAATATTGATGTTGTGAACAAGTGTACGCAAATTTGGTGCCAAAGCTAAAACGGTACCCTCTGAAAATTTCGACAGGTGGGCAAAAACACCACTCACCAGAAAACGCAAGAGAAGAAAAAATGTAAAGTACACGAAAAAGGCTCACGGAAACAGCTGTATCTCAGTGCCAAATTAAAATTTTATAGTTTCGAAAATTGCAATGAAAAGGAGTGGGAAAATCCTACTCAAAAATTCAATAAAAAATTTCAAGTTTAAGGTGTATTTAAGCCCTTGATGGCGTAGTCACATTTTTATCCATACGATTCTCGGCTATTGCAACCGGCTCCTGCTTGATATGTTCATTACCACTCTTTACTTGTTGGTTCAAAATTACTAATAACTTTATTTGTAACCATTACAGTTTCTGGTAGTGCATATTTCATAGAAGATACAGCTTGACAGGTTTTATTGTCTTTATCGTTTGGAATTATGCATGGTCTTAGTTGATCTACGTGTCGTTTCCATTGTAAACCACCACCACTCGTTGTCACAAAGTATGATACTGGGCTTAATTTTTTACATGTTTCCAGTTACCATTTCTGTAGTCTTTAGCCATTACTAAATTAGATTTGTCAAATTCTATGGATCTATTCCATTATAAGCCTTTATTTGGCTTTCTTGTTTTTAAATGACAGTATTATTTTCATTAACTCTTAATGAATCCCAATTATTTCTGAATTTATGCCTAATATGTAACTCTGCGGGTGACACTCCTGTTGTACAGTGTGGTGATGATCTATAGTGGAATAAATATTCAACTATTTTCTCTTTTTTATTCATTCTTTCTTTTCTTAGTAACTTAAGACCACTGCTTTTAATCGTTCCAGTACTTTACCAAGTTTCGTGTCGTGTTCATCCGTGTCTTCTCCACCTATATTAATATCATCAAAGAAAACTTTTACACCTTCAATATTTGCTAGAAGATTTTCCGTTTCTCTTTGAAATAATCACTGCGCTGATGCAATACCGAATGCTAATCCCGTGTACTGAAATAAACCTTTATGAGTCGAAATGGTTGTATATTCGCTCGATTTGTCATTCAACGGGAATCGTTTATACACATTTACTATATGTAATTTCGATAACACTCTATGTCCACTCAATGACGCTAGTATGTCTTGGATTATCGGTATAGGATACTTGTCCATTTTCACATATTTATTAATTGTAATACGGAAGTCACCGCAAATTCTTATATCAACGTTTTTTCTAAGCAGTGGTATAATATGGGTTGCCTATATAGCGAGAAGGCTTCGAGAATGGCGGGAGCCCTTTCGCAGATCATGCCGACCATCGGTGGCCCCAGGAGCAGTCGGAGGTGGCTCTACGCCAACGTTATCGACTCAATCCTCCTCTACAGCGCCCCCATCTGGAACTGCAGAACCGGGACACAGACCGGCATGCGTCAGGCGGAAGCAATCCATCGGCGAGCCTGCCTACGCGTCATCAGTAGTCGCTCGCACCTCCCGTACGAGGCTACCTACGTCCTTGCCAGTATACCACAGCTGGCTTTACTCGCAGACGAGGGTATTCGACTCTACCAACACCGCCATAAAGACGCGAGTGCTGAAGAACGCAAGGAGACACTAAGAAGACGGCAGAACCGGTGGGATCGTTCGCCAAAAGGACGATGGACATACAGGCTGATCCCCAACATCAGATTGTGGATAGACAGGTGACACGGAGAGGTAGACTACCACCTTACTCAGTTCCTGACAGGCCCCGGCTATTTTAAACACCACTTTCAAAGCTATTACCGCATCGCTAGCGCAAACTGCCTAGCCTGTCCCCACACGATCGAAAACGCAGAGCACGTTTTCTTCAACTCCCCTCGATTTGAGGAGGGAAGAGAGAAGCTCCATCGCCAGCTCCAAGTTGTCAGGCCTGAAAATATCGTCCAGCTCATGCTAGTGGACAAAAAAACTGGCTCTCGGTAGCCACCTTCGTCCACTTAGTCATAACTAGTCTCAGAGCCGAAGAGATGGCCAGAAGAAGATGACCGGACGATTCGGCATGAAGAAGACGCAACAACAAACAGTGCAAACGTGACGAGCTCGCTGCACCAGCCCAGCCTCTTCCCGCAAAGTAATGCCCGAAGGTGGTTTCGTGGGGGTTAAACAGAGCAGAAGGAGAAGTCAATGGGCCACACAACATCTTCTATATGCTTCTATATATTTTTTACTATCTTCATGTTTCTATATCCTGCTTTACATAACATATGTAGCCACGAAAAATCCACAAATGTACTGAAATCCTTTTTTTTAACAAACCAAGCCCATCGCACCCATGAAAAAAAAGGCACTGAAACACTATTTTAGACTAACTTACCTTTTTTTTTTCAACTTTGGGCTTTAACTGTTAAGTTAATTATTTTAATTTTTATAAAAAATGTTCGGAGGGAATTTTCTCGAATTTTTTAAATTTTTTTTTAGAAACACGCAATTTTCACAATTTTCACTTCTGAGCTAAAATCCTACGTACTTCCGTAGAAAAAGCATTTAACTTCAAGATCTTTTTCGAAATTTTGTTCCAGATGCCACAGAAGTCGAGAAAGCTTTCCGCCAATCAAAAAATCACTATTTTGTAAAATTGTGATATCTTCGCCATTTTGTGCATAAAACTAATAAAAAAATTTTTTTCATAGTTCATTACATGTATTATTAGTCCTCAAAGTCTCAAATTAAAGTATTCATCGTGGCCCCCATAAAAAATTCGTAAATTTTAGCAATTTTCCAAAATCCTAGAGTAGTCTTACCCCTTAAGCAGGGAATTTTACTCACTAATTCTAAAAATCAAATTTCAAAATGAGTAAAAAAAAATGTTCACATTACATAGTGCAGCGTGGACACTGTATACTATTTTTTTATAATAATCATTAAATAAGTCATTTCTCAAAGTATTACACATTGATCATGTAGTTAGTTGTTTGATGAAATAAACTAAAAGTTGGAAATACAATCGATTTAGAAATATGTTTTCTCTACATTTCACAAACGACTTGATATGCCTGCCTATGTAAATCATGCATGCATATTTTTTTAAATTCTATTTTTCATGAACTTATCACGAGAAAAAATTTTACAGCGACGTATCGCAAAACATTTAAGAATTTTTTTGGAGCTTTCTTGATGTATAGTATCATGGATTTTGACAAATAAAAAAATTTTCGCAAGATAAATATAGATAATGAAAGAAAAAATGTAGATAAAAATTATGAAAATTCAAGGATTATCGACAGTACTTGAAAAGTACTATGCAAAAATTTAGTAAGGAGCTTGAATGCCTATTGATTTATTTATAAAAATAATTTATTAATCGTTACTGCGCCTTATAATAGTTACATTCTGCGCATGTGACATTAATCAATTGTTGAAATGTCATTTTGATAGTAGCAAGTTCTTTTAAAATAATTCAGGTGATATTCTTAAATACTGATTGCGTAACATCTTTCGCAGGTTCCGCATGAAATTTATTTTGTCATAGACAAATTTAAAAAATATTTTTCATCACGTAGTACAAATACCTTAGTATTTTTGATTAAATGTAAAAAGCTATATAATTTACACAGGAATAAAAATAAATTTAACTATTAACAAGAACTATTTTTTAAAAGTGATGAAGATCAGCTTCAATTATCTTTTGTATCGATTGTTCTCAAAACGCTGATATCTTGTGAATAAGTTAAGCAGCCTGTAATTAAATCAAATTGTTGATGTAGACTATTTATTAAATTGATGAAAAAAGGTATTTATATCTCAAAATAGATGATTGATGTTATCGAACTTTTTAAATTAAATTTATGAAATCTTATTATAATATTAAATTATAATGCTCTCCTCGAAAAATTGAGATTTCATTATTTTGCTATTCTATCTAATTAGAAATTCTTATGTATATTACTTAAGAAATAATTTGCAGTCATTTTTGTATCTTGAGAAAAACGAAACTAGCTTTTAAGTCATAAAAAATCAAATATTCAGCATTGTACTAAAAGGCTCGAAGAGGGCTTAAATATCTTTTTACTGTATTAAGCTGTAAAAGTGAGTAATTTTTTTTTTTTTCAAAAACACACTTAAAAACCGTTTTAGGTACTCCATTTGAAAGTACTTTGTCCAGTTAGATTCTTAAAAACACTTAAATACACTGATATGAGTCTTAAGAAATTCTACATAAGCATCGCGCTCATCGTGTAAGCGACTTATCGTAGAATTGCAAGTCATCGGATGCATCAAAATAATTCTATGACGTTTCATTTTGTTCTATAAACAATTGGTCATAGTCGCGACCTCACGTTGAGCAATCTATGAAATTTAGCTTCTTGTAAGTATAATGAAGTGAAATGAATTTATCGAAATGATTAAAAATGAATAGTATTGTGACGAAGCACATGCCTGCGAGCTGAAACGTCGCGCCTGACCGAGGGCAGCCCGTACACCAGCACCCCGCGAGATCTCTTCGTCTTCGAGAATGCACGAGTAAATGATTTCGCGTATTTCCTCGTAGCCTAGGTTTCAGGCCAAGAAGAAGACGAGCGGAGCAGATCGAGGACGCAACGCCGACGCCAAGACAACCAGCCGCATCTCGATATTCTACGAGCCTAGGCCGAGCAGAGGCACGCAGGCGGCACAAGAGCAGTAGCCGAGCCACGTGACTACTGCGCAATCTACTGCGCCGCAGACCGCGCCGCGAGAGGCAGATTACCACGAGCCGAGCAAGTGTGTGCACGTGCGAAGCAAACAAAAGTAAAAGTTAGTTGTTTTTCGCTGATAAATTAGCAACAGCAGTTCGCGACAGTGCAGTTCGGTGCAAAAGAGCTCGCCGACAAGAAAAGGTTCGTCGGAGTGCGAGTGTCGCGCGAGAAGCAGATATTGAGTGCCAAGGACGAACGCCAAGAAAGTGAGGCTAGTTTTGCCTCGAGACACGCGGTGCCGATACGAGCCCGAAAGCCACCTAGGCCGAGAAGAAGGAATTTTGCCACGGAGTACAGGCGACGGAGGCCACGACAGCAAAGGAGTTTGCCAGGGCATCGTCTACTGAAGAGCCGGCGAAGAGGTTAGCTTTAAGATTATTTAGGTGGTCGGTCGCTTGGCCGTGTGCACGATTGCGTCATCGTGCTCGCGCGTGTATCGAGAGTGTGTGTGTGCGTGTGAGTATTACCGCAGCGGCGGCAAGCTCAGCGTGTGGGTGCGAATCGACGGCACACTGCCGCGTCGCATAATTAGGATAAACGCAGGTGTACGGCGCGGCGTAGACGCGATCTCGCGGAATTAGCCACGTGGCTACAGGTCGACGAGCGAAGCACGCGCGCGTCGGCCAAGCTCGTTCGACCACGCGTACGTAGCGACGGCCATTTTGGCCAAGTAGTATAAGAGAGTCACGACATAACCTATTGCCGCGGAGCAAAGGTTCGGCCACGGAAGGCAAACAAGAACGCCACCAGCGCACCTGGTGGCCAATGTTAAAAGTGAAATAAAGTGACTAGATTTTTGAAATTGAATCTCGCGAGTCATAATTAATTCGTTTTTGTTGTAAATTTCCTAGACTCCCTCTTTTCAGCACGTAGAGCAATATTGCAGAATTGTAAGGATTTTCGCGGAATTCGCGACAAAATCGAGATTTCCTCGGCCGATTCGAAAGGTGAGTCACTGGGGCCAACAGCTCGGCCCAAACTCGACGGAAGGCCCAGAACCCCCTCGGAGAAATCAGCGTGAGTACCAGAGGTCCCACATAATAAAATTCTTGTCGACGGCATTTGAGCTGAACCTTATTTGATAAGGCCAATTTGCAGCGTCGCAGTATATATTCTAGAAAAATTACGTACAATTCATCTAGAAATATACGTACACGTAGCTAAAGTCGATGACATATTTAAGTTTCAGGTTGCTATGATAGCCAAATTGTCGATTAATCAAAATAAAACTTTATAGAACTATTGATAATTTAAACTTTACATCGATTTTCAAACTTTTTCAGATATTTAGAGTGAAACTTTCTTGTCAGTTGGGCTGTTTATAGATAAAGGCAGAATTCAGAATTAGATAATTAAACATAATTTCAAAATAATGTTTGGCAAAATTAATCAAAAAAATATCGATAATAATTGACTTATTTTATTAATATTCACATAAGATGGCATTTGGACCGAGTTTAATGGCCGTATTAAACGGCTAGTCATGTTAAGAGTAGGCATGATAATTTGATATTACTGAATATGAAAATCATAGATGAAGCTAATATTTTTTATTTGAAATTCGAATCGAAGACTTCTTAGATAGGTTTTTTTTCAAATTTCAGCGTAAATTTTGCCATGTATTCATTATCGCTGTATATTTTGCAATTAAACAAAAAATAACATCATTCTTCGACTTAAAATATTGTCAAAATAGATTTTTTCTTTTTTTTGTCTTCGGGGCGGAAATGACATCAACAATCGTCCAATTTTGCTATAAACCTTCCAAGATGGGACTGAGTAGTAAACATTCATGGATTTTTCACTCAATAATCATGAACTTTATCAAAAAATATTATAAAATGAAAAATGTTGAAGACTATTCGGAGTATACGTGTGGATTTTTTTTTTAAATTTTAAATTGTTCAAAACCTGGTCCAATTTAAAATTTTTAAAACAGAATGTGAAAATTTGCATCTATTCTTTGAATTATTTTAAACATTTCCTGTTCTACTGAACCAGATGTTCATTGATTTTGAATGAAAATAGTATATTATGATACGTATGACTGAAGCAGGCCCTTATTGAACGGCGCTACACTCGGGTGCTACAGTGTCGTGTTAAGAATGGGCTATTCGAGTCATAAGTATCGTATACTTTTTTATAGCACTGTGCTAAGTTCTAGTTTAGGCCCCCTTTGTCGTGACTTACGCTGCTCATTATTGCACCGCGGCGCGCCTATCGCACTTTACTCTCGTGCGCTAAACTCAACTTCACTTGCTTGCACGCTAAACATGAACTTAGCACGGTATTATAAAAAAAAAAAAAAAAATAATGATAATTAATACGTCGTTTAGATTTTTTTCAATTCGAACTTCAAATTTTAAAATTATTCACATCGTTATTAATTGTAAGTTTTCGTCTTGGCTAGGCGGAGAGCAATTAACACTCACGAAAATCTCGGAGGGTCGTGGGGTCACGGGAGGAAAATACTCGAATTCTACGTGACAGAGCTCATGGTTTTTGTCGCTTACAGGTTACATAATAATTTGCTAACACTATTCTTTCTTCGTCGACAAATGCTGATGACTGGCTTCCGCTGGAGCTGGAGGTCGTCACCACGAGTTTGACGAATATATGGAGATGATTCTCGAGATCACATTCACACTTTGTACTTCGTAATTTGCTTCCTTTATTCGCATGACACGACTTTGCACGCACGTTGCAAACGAGCAGATTCTGTAATGGCCAACTCGTGACGTGGTCTTAGTCACCATTCTCATGTGTCACATGATATTTTCGTCGACTCCTGTTACCCCCTCTCCTACCGACTGAGCGAAGTGCAGCCGCGCGCGGCCAGAATTCTTCCGAATACCACGTTTTTCGGTAGTTAACTGTTCATAACTTTTGAACCGTTTGAGTCTCTAACTTGAGATTTTATACAGACCTTTGTTATTAGATTACCTATCGATCGAGATATCTAAGAATAAAATCGAAGGGGGCATACTTGCCGAAAAATTAAGTCAACTTTGAAGTCAATTTTCCCCATGAAAATGAACTTTTTTCGAAAAATTAATACCACCATTGGAAAGAACAGACAAAAATCTATCGGAATGCATGTGCGCAATATTTTATCAGACATAATTGCACCAGCCACGGCGAATTAGAAAAGTTGCGATACATTAAAAAATGCCCCGCGCGAGCGCACTATCTGGTCGAGCGTGAAATACGTCACGTGCGAATTTTTTTAGAATTTTTTGAATGATTTTCGATATTTTTGGATCTGATCATTTTATAAAAATGTCGAAAATCATCTCAAAAATTTCGAAAAAATTCACGCGTGTTTATTAATAAATTCTAAGCTCTTTTTGTTTAATAACATTTTTTTGTAGATTCTATTCTTACAGAGTAAAAAAATACCAACGCATTATAACATATATACCATATCGTCTTTTAGCCGATAATAGCTGAATCGGCTGTTTTGGTGGCAACCATCTTGAATCTGGATGAACCAACGCCGCTAACATTCAGTATAGACCTATATGCCACCAGATTCAGAATTTAAGCTTGATCCGAATTCGAAATCGTAGTGAAAAATACGATCATTTTGAAGACAAATGTTCAAAAACGACGTTTTTTTTGTTCAAACAAATTTATTTTTAAAACCATTGCATATATCGTAAATTTGAAGCCAGATTTGAAAAGACCGATAAAAATACTACTATATAATATTAATTTGACGATGGTTTCATAAAAAATAACACGTGGAAAAATAAGTCAAAATTAGCGTCTCTTGGTATTAGACGGATTAAAGGTGGACGCTAAATCCTTCTCAGCCTTTAGAAAGGAGCTTCTTTACGTCTTCAAAACAGTTCAGAACATCTAAACAGCTGATTGAAAGTAGAGAGAAGTTGAGCTGAGTCGATTTGCTAGGTCATCGGTGGCATCAGAAGCATCGGAACTTCAAGGCCGGAACTCAGCTGATCCTCAGTCTTGTGCTTGCAATTTTATAAGAATGATATTTTCATTGGCTGATTGAATGTGAGATGTGTGACGGACGGCTGACCCCGGGGTG